GGGAAAACAGTCCTTTCTTTTCACTTCCTCTCCCGGTTTATCTTTTCAGTTACAGTCTGTTAATGAAAATGCCTGTTACTGTTACAAAATGGATTTTCCTGACATGGAAGCCCATTAGAAAAATGGGGACAATAGCAGGCGATAAGAGCTGCTGATGGATCCTAACACTGTGGGTGGAGAGGAGGGGCGGGGGCACCAGGGCTCCGTCTTTGGAGAAAGAAGTGTGAGTTGGGGAGATAAGAAAGCCCCGGGTTGCTAATTAATAACCTAGCATTTCCCAGGGAAAGAGGGAGGCCATGAGCCATCACCCCTGCTAGACAGCCTCACTTAAGGTGACAAGCAGGTCCTGCCCTGAAGGTCTTCAGGAAGATCTTAACTTCCCAGGAGAGAAGAGGGATCTGAGGTCTCCCAGACGCTTTGCCTCTGGCCTGCTTGCCCCCTCCCCTGCCCCAGAGGATCCAGCTTTGGGTCCCTTCTGTACACAGTAAATGATTATCCCCCACCAATAAAGCAAAGCGCAGAGAGCAATAACAGTGTGCATTCTGGGAACATTCACCATGTTCTGGGAACTGGGCTCAAAGTCTGTTTATTTAATATTCATAATGATTCTGTGAAGTAGGGATAATTAGACTCCCCATTAAATAAAAGAAGAAACTAAGGTGTGGAGAAGCTAAGTAACCTGCTCACGGCCACACAATCAGAAATGTGGGTGGCTATGTTCTGTGGTCATTCTGGCCCTGGTGCTCACCTGAGATGTCACCCCATGTCTGAGCCCCAGTGAAATCCACTTTCCCAGCCGGGGCTAGAAGCCATGCCACCCCGCACAGTGCCAGCTCACCGGGTGTGTTTCCCACACCTAGTGCCATAGCTCTCTGCTCTCCCAGAGGCTGCTGGGTAACTGGCCAGCACAGACCAGGTGCCCATGGCATGCAGGACTCCTCATGAAGATGCTTCACACCTAATATTGAGTAATGGACTTCTTTACCCCATTTTCCAAGAAAACTTTGCAAAAGCCTAGCACATTCTCAATTCGACTTTTCTTCCGTGATTTTCCTTTGGAGCTCACTCCTGTTCACCAGCTGTCCAGGGATGGTAACATCAAAACAACTAGACAGGGAGCAAGCAAATGACTGTTGACAGAGAGACTTGGAGATGTCAGAGCTTTCCTATAGTACTCGTATGTCTTGAGCTGTAGAGAGACCTAGCTATATTATTTCTGCTAGTGAGTTTGTTCCTGGTTGGTAATGATAAAGTTAAAGCTATTCCTATTTATTAGAGTTCATGGCTTACAGGTGTTGTGCGAACAAAACAAATTTCAAAACTAGGGGCTTTAAAACTAGACTGGGTGGAAGTAAGCACTTCTAATAAAAATAGCTAATGCTTATTATGTTGCTTACTACTTTCCAGGCACTTCCCTCAGCACTTTTGATACACTTTTGATCTTATTGAAACCTCATAATGCCCCTTTGAGGAAGATACTATCATTATACCCATTTTCCAGATGAGGAAACTGAGGCCAAGAGAGATTAAGTAGCTTGCTGAAGTCTCACCGTGTAAAGCCAGTGGGGATGACATTGAATGAGCCCAGTCTGACTCTGGGCCATGCTTCTTTCTCTCCAAACTGTACACGAAAGAAAGAAGGAAGCGGGTGGGAGAGAATACCAGTGCTTAGGAAGCACTTTCTCTTTCCCAGTGCTGTGGTAAGGGCTTCTGCCCTTACTAGAGGGCTGCCTGTCTCTGGTCATGAAGCCAGGGCCTGGTATCTATACGAAGTGCACTGGATCAGGACTCAATTGATGACTGAGCTGACCATCAAAATTCTATCTGCCTCGCAGGGCTGTGGCTCAAACAAGACAAGTGGGGAAAAGGCCTTGAAGGCTACTTGTGCACCTGTGAGGGCCACACGTCCTGCTGGTTGGCCCCAGCAGGCCCAGGGTAGGAAGGCACATATCTTAGGTGATCTGGGCCTTTGCACAGTCCTTGGGCCTCCAAGAGCTTACCCTTCCCCACCTCAGTGCACCTTTAAGCAGGCTACTCAGTCTGGCTGAGTTCAAGGCCATATGTAGTGATTTGAAAGGGGCTAAGTCCTGTACAGCTATCCCCTGCCCTGGCCTAATTCTGCGCTTCCTGGCCTTACTGGCCTGGCTCACCTCGTTGTATCCCCTGGGAGGGCGAACACACTCAGCACCAGGACCCATCTCCTCACATTGCCTGCTGGGAAGTGTCCTGAAAGAAGACTCTTCAGGCAGAGGAAGGGCCTCCTGGTCTTACATAACCAGATTGAGCGCTGGGTGCTGATTCCCAGTAATCCATACCCCTGCCTCCCTTAATCACAGCTTCGAGGGAACAACAGTCGGGGTCACGTGGAGAAGTGTTCAAAATAGCAACCTCACGGAGGAAGAATTGATTCCCTCGGCCCACCCCCTGCCCCACCTCCCTTCTCATTTACGAATTCAATTTTTTGTCAGGCTGAGCATTTAAATGCACTCTGTGCTCTCTGGATTCCCCCATCTCTCCCCCTTCCTCATTAGAATTCGAATTATTACCAGGCCAAGTAAGATGTATGATCAAAGAAAGCCAAGTCCTAGAAATACCTTTTGTTTTAAGATGACTCATTGCAGAGAAGGCAGGCAGAGCAGCTGTAACAGAGAGCAGAGGTCAAGGGTCTGGAGATGGCCCAATACTTAGAAGAAGGATGCGTCTGTCTGTGGTCGTTCGAGTGCTCCTCAGGGGCCTAAGGGCCTGAGGAAACAATCACCAAACCATTTAGATCATCAGCTCATAACAGCAGAAATTATTGGAAGACCTCTAATATATGTTTATTTGCCCCCATGATATATACCGCACATCAATAGAGTTGGAACTGCAGCCTGGGCTGTATCTCAGTCTCACCACCCATGAGCTGTGTGACCCTGGGCAATCAATTTACTCCTCTGTGCCTCAGTTTCCTCATCTGCACAGTGAGGGTCATAACCATGCCTATTTCCCTGGAGAGTACGAGTAATACTCATACCTATTTGGACATCGAAATGTTCAACAACTTGATTAAGTCCAATAATAAAATGCCACCGTTTCTATTACTACCAACCTGTATGTATATTAAAGTGTTGATGTCTTACTTTTAAGATAATAAATAAATATTAAAACGAACCGATATTTTTTCTCTTGTGCCCCCGGGATGCATGCACACGCCATTGGAGGCCTTCAGTCTAGAAGTTAACCTAGAATCAGCTTTCCCAGGAGGGACCTAGCTCCCCTGTACTCCAAGCAGAGCTTAGCACCTGGCACAAGGCAAATGCTCAGTAAATGTTGGTTGAGAGATAATTACAGCTCCTTTAAGTGCCATTCATTCGCTCATTTATTCTCGTGGACCGGTTTCTGTGCTAGGCCCTGAGTCAGACAAATATAAACAACACAGGGATCCAGTAACCTACAGCTTAATCAGGGACAAACAGGCTGGGACAATGGAAAGAGCTCAGGCTGGGTGGTGGACATCTGGACCTTGGTCCAGGCTCTGTGTCTGACCTGTGACCCCAGCAAGTCCTTTTTCTGGACCACTCCTCCCATCTGCAGATGCACAGCCTGGCCTCGGCTCTTGTAGGAACATTTCTCACCTTAATAAGATTCTTAAGGCATTGGAACAGGATAATCCAGGGGCCACAAAGACACAGGCCTGGGGTGGGGGCAAGCAGGGAACAGGGAGTAAACTGGTGAGGTCACACGCCTCCAAAGAGACTCACCAGTTCCCACCATGAATGAGTACAAGTCCGTGGTGTGATGGTGATGGTGGTGGAATCTCTCAATTTTCTAATCATCATGCAAGTATACAAGACCTCTCTGCCGGCTTGTCCACATGTGACCTTTGTGCACACCGCCAGGTGTACCATTGGTTCAGAGCCTCCAGACCCCTCTACTCAGAGTAAGAAGAGGCCTTGGGTTCAAAAGGTCTTTCCCAAAGGTGGGATGAGAGGTCTACTCTGTCATTTCTCCCTAAGGGAGGCATCCTCACAGCTCTCTGGGGATAATGGACATCCTACTGGGGACAGGGGCGGACTGGGGGTGGGGCAATGAGCGCCCACCTCTGAACCAATCACAGTATTCAAAAATACCAGTTTTACAGCCAAGCTCTCAAATAGCCACAGGAACGGGGTTGGGGGAAGACAGCTTATAGGGATCATTTGTATTTAGCTTTGAAATAAACTGTGTGGATCGATCCCAACTTAATACCAGAATTTATGGCGCCTACTGTGCGCATTGAATGCAAATACAGAAGAAGCATTAGACCTAATCTGGGCCCTCAAAGTGATGATGCGCCATCTCATTCACTGCAAGTCAGCTCAGGAACTGTTCATTGAGCTCTGCTTTGGGCCCGGTGGGGGCGGGGGAGGGAAGAGCGTGAATTCCTGGAGCTTCTGGTCTCCGAGGAAGCTCAGCCTGTTGAGGAAGAGAGCTGTGCGCGAAAATGACTCTGCTGTGAGTCTGGCCGTCATAACAGCTCTAATAGAAATTCAAATAGCATCCAAATGTGAATGCTGCACAAATTTGTACATTTGCTTAGGCTGTTATTGAAATTACTTTCCTTTCCCTGCGCACAAGCCAACAAGCAGTGGGGTGCCCCCAGGCTGGCAGTGGGGGGAGGGGTGGTGCTGGAAAATCAGACCCCGGAGAAGGGGTCCCAGTGGCTATGGAGCATTAGCCCCAAACCCAGCTGTCCTCTGCCTGGGTGGCTTTCTCACGACCGTTCTTTTCTCTTCTGTCTTTGTCCCTTGCGTGTGCTCCCTGTTCCAACACCCTCCCCGGCTTCTCCCCGCCTCTGTCTGTCTCTGTCCCTCCCTGCCTGGCTCACGCCGAGGGCAGGCACCTCTGTCAGCCTCCTCGCAGTGGTAGTTATTGTGTGTGGCGTGGCCCTGGTGGCAGTTTTTCTCTTTCTCTTTTGGAAGCTGTGCTGGACCCCCTGGAGGAACAAGGAGGCCTCCAGTCCCTCTTCTGCTAAGGTCTCTGGCTCCAGAGGCACCATGGCGGACAAGCTGAAGGACCCCAATGCCCTGGGCTTCCTGGAGGCGGCGGTGAAGATCAGCCACACGTCCCCAGACATCCCAGCCGAGGTGCAGATGTCGGTCAGAGAGCACATCGTGCGTCACACCCGGCTGCAGCGACAGACCACGGAGCCGGCGTCATCCACCAGGTGAGGGGCAGAGCCCCCCCTTCCCTAACCTCATTCCCTTAGTCAATAAAGAGACTCCAGAAATAATAACAAGTGAACCGTGACGGGAGAACATTTCAGATGGCGTGGTCCATGGCGGGTGATCACCTAGGAGGTGGGTGCCAGCAAAGACCTCAGGAAACAGGAACCTTTCCCATGGGGTGCTAAGCACCGGGATGTGTGTGTGTGGGAGGTGTTGGGTGTTTTGTTTGGAGGGAAGGAAAGACATCAGGCAGAGGGGAGAGAATATGCAAAGGCCCAGAGGCATAAAAGATCATGGGGAGTCTAGAGAGATGTCAACAAGGCCTGGGAGATAGAGTCTGCAGTGCCCGAGTCAGGACAAGAGAGCCTGCTGTTTGAGAACGGGGACTCCTCCACAGCCACTGGCAGAGTCTCCCGCATGCAGCAGGTGCACGCATGGCATTCTTCGACTGAAACCCACAACCGCCAACACAATGACCAAAACCTGCTCTAACTCCAGAAACACTTTTGACAGAAGTGATGCATGCAGGCATGAGGCATTGTGCTTATTCAAAACTTGGGGCTCTGTGTGTTCCTGGGTCCCTGCAGTGTCTCCCCAGCTCCCAGGGGACCAGCCAAAGGAAGGGAGCCTGGTCTCCAGATCAGAGGCCAGGAATGAAAGTGCTGGGATCACATGTACGGACTTTACCGTATGACCTCGAGCAAGTTGCTCACCTTTCTTCAGCCTCACTTTTCCCAACTGTAAAGTAGAGCTAATGACTCATGAGGTTGCTGTGAGGAGCCCCTGAAAGAGTCCGCATGACAATGAGAGCTCACGATATATCACTTATTCTACGTTGGCCCTGTTCTAATAAGTACTTTATATGCATGAATTCATTTCGTCCCCACGGCAATCCTAGGCAATTGCTTTTATTCTCATTTCATAGCAAAGAGAAGTTAAATAACTTGCCCAACGTCACACAGCTAGACAGTGGCAGAGCCAAGATGAGCCCAGTAGTGTTAACTATGGTGATAGGGGTAGTGGTGGCGGCCGAGGGACAGCCACCAGCCATATCCAGGAGAGGGAAGGATGGTCCTCCTCTTAAGGGATCTTTTGGTTTAATGCGGAAACCAGAGTCACATCTAGGAAAGAAACCTAGAAAGCAGGTTGGTAGCAGAAGAGCAGGGAGAATGGTAACTCTAGCAATGGCTAATATTAATTGAGCTTACTATATACCAGGCCCCATTGCAACTACTTTACGTGTACTAAGACGTGTAATGCGCACACAACCTGTGCACAGAGTGTGTGCAGAGGGGAAGGGGCCCCCAGCAGACAGGATGAGCCAGGGCCACCGGGTGTGTGTGGGGGGGGGGGGG